AGAGTTCATTTAACACTGGAGTTTTTGTTGTGTATAAATTCTTGCTTTCCCTGGGAATTTTAAGGATGTTGTCTGTTTTGATGTTCTACTTTTTCTATGTCTCTTCCCCATGTCTGACGTGTTCTTGTTTCCTGATGTTTCGTGGTCCGTTTCAGCTGTATAGTTAAAGGTTGGCGATGTGTGTGTGACCCGCAGGAGGAACAGGCCCTTCGTCAGATGCGGGGTGGGGGTGCATGCTCCGCTGTGGACAGATGATCCTAGCGCAGGCGTTGGTCTGCAGACACCTGGGACGAGGTAAGCCAACACCTCACAGATCGTGTAGGCTCTAAAACGGGTTACAATAATAGTGTCATTGTCGTTTTAACGATGTGTGTGATCTGACGTTATTGAGTATCAATATCATAGTATTAATATCACATGAAGATGCCATTTATCAGCATGGTTATGGTTACAAATGTGATTTTATGCAAGTTAATAGCAAATGTCTCCCAGATTGGTGTAGTTGCTGTAACGGGTTACGATAATATTGTAATTCTCATTACATTGACATTTAATTAACATTACATTCTAATTGTCGTTTTAGCGATGTGCGATGTGACGTTATTGAGTATATCCCTCACTTTATAAAAACACACCTAGAGAGTGCACACATACACTACGTGATCTATTGAAATGCATTTATAACGCACCCAATATTTAAGATAAAGGGGCAAAACTACCTTTGTATGTCTTTTATATTTATATAATTTAACATAGCTAAAGTCCCCCTTTAGTGACAAATGCCATTTCCTTGAAAAAAAAATTCTTCATGCCTTAAAATATCTTGATTGTAACTCGACACCCTTGCCTCATTTAGTATGCGCGGTTCTATGAATATGCAAATGAGCCCTGCCTCCACTCACTCACTTAATTAGCTGGCTTTATAAAGATAAAAATGCCCATAAAAGGTAAAAATCCATTTAAACTCATTGGAAAAGATGATTTCTGTGCCTGCTGTGAACTGACCACCGCACAGAATATGAAGAACATCAAAAACTTTAATAGTCAGTCCTAAACCTGTGAAGGGATCGACACAACAAACACACTCAGCAAAATACCGTCTAATTATCGTTATCAATATGTATCGTGGATAGTTCACCCAAAATAAAATGTTTGTTTTAGTGTCAGTACGACATTAAACTACTATATATAGTATATATACTACTATATAGTTTTAGGACACCATTAGGTCACCTGATGGAGTTTTAGGACACCATTGGGTCGCCTGATGGAGTTTTAGGACACCATTGGGTCGCCTGATGGAGTTTTAGGACACCATTGGGTCGCCTGATGGAGTTTTAGGAACCCATTGGGTCCCCTGATGGAGTTTTAAGACACCATTGGGTCGCCTGACGGAGTTTTAGGACACCATTGGGTCGCCTGACGGAGTTTTAGGACACCATTGGGTCACCTGATGGAGTTTTAGGACACCATTGGGTCGCCTGACGGAGTTTTAGGACACCATTGGGTCGCCTGACGGAGTTTTAGGACACCATTGGGTCCCCTGATGGAGTTTTAAGACACCATTGGGTCGCCTGACGGAGTTTTAGGAACCATTGGGTCCCCTGATGGAGTTTTAAGACACCATTGGGTCGCCTGACGGAGTTTTAGGACACCATTGGGTCGCCTGACGGAGTTTTAGGACACCATTGGGTCGCCTGACGGAGTTTTAGGACACCATTGGGTCGCCTGACGGAGTTTTAGGACACCATTGGGTCCCCTGATGGAGTTTTAAGACACCATTGGGTCGCCTGACGGAGTTTTAGGACACCATTGGTCGCCTGACGGAGAGTTTTAGGACACCATTGGGTCGCCTGACGGAGTTTAGGACACCATTGGGTCACCTGACGGAGTTTTAGGACACCATTGGGTCCCCTGATGGAGTTTAAGACACCATTGGGTCACCTGATGGAGTTTTTAGGACACCATTGGGTCGCCCTGACGGAGTTTTAGGACACCATTGGGTTGCCTGACGGAGTTTTAGGACACCATTGGGTCGCCTGACGGAGTTTTAAGACACCATTGGGTCGCCTGATGGAGTTTTAGGACACCATTGGTCGCCTGACGGAGTTTTAGGACACCATTGGGTCGCCTGACGGAGTTTTAGGACACCATTGGGTCGCCTGACGGAGTTTTAAGACACCATTGGGTCGCCTGATGGAGTTTTAAGACACCATTGGGTCGCCTGACGCAGTTTTAGGACACCATTGGGTCGCCTGATGGAGTTTTAGGACACCATTGGGTCACCTGACGGAGTTTTAGGACACCATTGGGTCCCCTAATGGAGTTTTAAGACACCATTGGGTCGCCTGACGGAGTTTAGGACACCATTGGGTCGCCTGACGGAGTTTTAGGACACCATTGGGTCGCCTGACGGAGTTTTAGGACACCATTGGGTCCCCTGATGGAGTTTTAGGACACCATTGGGTCGCCTGACGAGTTTTAGGACACCATTGGGTCCCCTGATGGAGTTTTAGGACACCATTGGTCGCCTGACGGAGTTTTAGGACACCATTGGGTCCCCTGATGGAGTTTTTAGACACCATTGGTCGCCTGATGGAGTTTTAGGACACCATTGGGTCGCCTGACGGAGTTTTAGGACACCATTGGGTCGCCTGACGGAGTTTTAGGACACCATTGGGTCGCCTGACGGAGTTTTAAGACACCATTGGGTCGCCTGATGGAGTTTTAAGACACCATTGGGTCGGACGCAGTTTTAGGACACCATTGGGTCGCCTGATGGAGTTTTAGACACCATTGGGTCACCTGACGGAGTTTTAGGACACCATTGGGTCCCCTAATGGAGTTTTAAGACACCATTGGGTCGCCTGACGGAGTTTTAGGACACCATTGGGTCGCCTGACGGAGTTTTAGGACACCATTGGGTCGCCTGACGGAGTTTTAGGACACCATTGGGTCCACTGATGGAGTTTTAGGACACCATTGGGTCGCCTGACGGAGTTTTAGGACACCATTGGGTCGCCTGATGGAGTTTTAGGACACCATTGGGTCGCCTGACGGAGTTTTAGGACACCATTGGTCGCCTGACGGAGTTTTAGGACACCATTGGGTCGCCTGACGGAGTTTTAGACACCATTGGGTCGCCTGATGGAGTTTTAAGACACCATTGGGTCGCCTGACGCAGTTTTAGGACACCATTGGGTCGCCTGATGGAGTTTTAGGACACCATTGGGTCACCTGACGGAGTTTTAGGACACCATTGGGTCCCCTAATGGAGTTTTAGACACCATTGGGTCGCCTGACGGAGTTTTAGGACACCATTGGGTCGCCTGACGGAGTTTTAGGACACCATTGGGTCGCCTGACGGAGTTTTAGGACACCATTGGGTCCCCTGATGGAGTTTTAGGACACCATTGGGTCGCCTGACGGAGTTTTAGGACCATTGGGTCCCCTGATGGAGTTTTAGGACACCATTTGGTCGCCTGACGGAGTTTTAGGACACCATTGGGTCCCCTGATGGAGTTTTAAGACACCATTGGGTCACCTGATGGAGTTTTAGGACACCATTGGGTCGCCTGACGGAGTTTTAGGACACCATTGGGTCGCCTGACGGAGTTTTAGGACACCATTGGGTCGCCTGACGGAGTTTTAGACACCATTGGGTCGCCTCCTGATGGAGTTTAAGACACCATTGGGTCGCCTGACGCAGTTTTAGGACACCATTGGGTCGCCTGATGGAGTTTTAGGACACCATTGGGTCACCTGACGGAGTTTTAGGACACCATTGGGTCCCCTAATGGAGTTTTAAGACACCATTGGTCGCCTGACGGAGTTTTAGGACACCATTGGGTCGCCTGACGGAGTTTTAGGACACCATTGGGTCGCCTGACGGAGTTTTAGGACACCATTGGGTCCCCTGATGGAGTTTTAGGACACCATTGGGTCGCCTGACGGAGTTTTAGGACACCATTGGGTCCCCTGATGGAGTTTTAGGACACCATTTGGTCGCCTGACGGAGTTTTAGGACACCATTGGGTCCCCTGATGGAGTTTTAACACCATTGGGTCCCCTGATGGAGTTTTAAGACACCATTTGGTCACCTGATGGAGTTTTAGGACACCATTGGGTCGCCTGACGGAGTTTTAGGACACCATTGGGTTGCCTGACGGAGTTTTAGGACACCATTGGGTCGCCTGACGGAGTTTTAAGACACCATTGGGTCGCCTGATGGAGTTTTAGGACACCATTGGGTCGCCTGACGGAGTTTTAGGACACCATTGGGTCGCCTGACGGAGTTTTAGGACACCATTGGGTCGCCTGACGGAGTTTTAAGACACCATTGGGTCGCCTGATGGAGTTTTAAGACACCATTGGGTCGCCTGACGCAGTTTTAGGACACCATTGGGTCGCCTGATGGAGTTTTAGGACACCATTGGGTCACCTGACGGAGTTTTAGGACACCATTGGGTCACCTGACGGAGTTTTAGGACACCATTGGGTCCCCTAATGGAGTTTTAAGACACCATTGGGTCGCCTGACGGAGTTTTAGGACACCATTGGGTCGCCTGACGGAGTTTTAGGACACCATTGGGTCGCCTGACGGAGTTTTAGGACACCATTGGGTCCCCTGATGGAGTTTTAGGACACCATTGGGTCGCCTGACGGAGTTTTAGGACACCATTGGTCCCCTGATGGAGTTTTAGGACACCATTTGGTCGCCTGACGGAGTTTTAGGACACCATTGGGTCGCCTGACGGAGTTTTAGGACACCATTGGGTCGCCTGACGGAGTTTTAGGACACCATTGGGTCCCCTGATGGAGTTTTAGGACACCATTGGGTCGCCTGACGGAGTTTTAGGACACCATTGGGTCCCCTGATGGAGTTTTAGGACACCATTGGGTCGCCTGACGGAGTTTTAGGACACCATTGGGTCCCCTGATGGAGTTTTAAGACACCATTGGGTCGCCTGACGGAGTTTTAGGACACCATTGGGTCGCCTGACGGAGTTTTAGGACACCATTGGGTCGCCTGATGGAGTTTTTCGGTTCCCACTGTTGTCTTTGGCTTGCTCAGTTGGGGATATTCAATTTAAATGACCCATCATACCATTGATCAGCTCCACCGAACTTGGATGTCTTTTTTTTCCAGTAATAAACAAACACTGTCGAGTTGTTTTGATTGATACTGTGAAGCAGCTTTGATACAATCTGTATTGTGAAAAGCGCTATATAAATATATTTGACTTGACTTGACTACTGTATTCACGGGTCATGATGCTTCTCTACTCCACTGCTCCAGACTGGCGGTGGGATCCAGAGAAACATCAGCCCAAAGAGTATCACCGTATCCTGAGCTGCTTCCTGGACAAGAAGGACAGCTGCTACTCCATCCATCAGATGGGTGAGGCCAGTGTGTGTGTGAGAGAGTGCGGGACAGCGCAATGGTACTACAGTCTGTGTATTGTGTGTATGTGTGTGAGTGCTGTGCAGCGCAGTGGTACTGAACTCTCTGTATTGTGTGTGTGTGTGCAGCTCAGATGGGCGTTGGCGAGGGCAAGTCTGTGGGAGAATGGTATGGACCGAACACAGTGGCGCAAGTACTCAAGCAAGTGTCTTTTCTTCTTTGCCAAACATTCTTGAAAATAATAGTTTGTTGTCACACACGTTTGTCCTTATTTTGAAGAAGTGGTTTTACACATCCCACCCTCCCAAACCCAATGATCTTTATTAAAAGGGACCTGCTTTTTTAACACTTCCAACTTTTTTAAAGTCCAGTTTCATTTTATAAACTAAAACTCATCTTTGATCTCCTAAATGACAATTGGCTTCTTGAATTAATATGCTTGGCTTCTTGGCTTCTTCATGAATATGCAAACGAGCCCCGCCTCCACTCACTCATAGTACATCTTTATTCTTTGGGATGTTGCATGCACACGAGAACGTCTATTTGCGCTTGTGAATGACACCATACCACAGTAGCTCCCATAAATAAGATATGTTGTCATCATTCAGTCACCCTCATAGCTTTAATCCATCAAATGAAAGCATGCCGTGACCAAGCCTAGAAAAGCACCATTTAAAAGGCTATATTTTCTAAATGTCATAATCATTTGTAACAAGCAAGTATTCATTACTTCAATGAGCTCATCGTTTCTGCATTAGATTATCACATTGTTTAAATGAATACATTTTTCGCTAACTGTGACTCATGTGCATTTCTGAAATGCATATCTTAGACAGTTTCCTCTGATAATAACAGATCCCTCTATATTCTAATCTGGACTTTCAGTAAAGCTGCTTTGAAATGATGTGTACTGTGAAAGGTGCTACACAAATAAACCTGAATTGAATTGAACGTGCATTAAAAGCAAGTCACTCCAGAGTACAGCCACGCTTGTGCACGCATCACGAATCGACGGCTGTTTTATGGGCTTCCCTCCAAATCTCTTCATAAATTACAGTTGGCACAAAATGGCGCAGCTCGAGTCATCATTACCAAAACCTCCATTTCTCAACGTATTTCTCCTGTTTTACAGGATTTGCTCCCAGATTAAATTTTTTACTTTTAACTTACAAAGCACTTCACACGTTCTCCTTCATATCTTCTAGATCTTGTTCATATACACACTCACATTTTAAACGACTTCCTTTGGGTCACACACTTTGGTTAACTCACTTCCTGTTAAAGTTCGCTACAGTTCTAGTTTTTAAATCGCGTCCTAAAATCTGCTTAGGCTTTTATGTGATTTAATGAGTGTTGCTGTACTGATTTCATTGCTTTTATGGATTTCGTAAGGTGTCATTGAGTGCCACTGCCATGAAAGGCGCCTATAAATACAATGTATGATAATATTAATAATAAAAAGTCTTGTCGTTTAAATGCAAAGGTTGTGGTGAACTAATGGCCAATCTGTGTTTGCTTGCAGGAAACTGGCCCTGTTTGATGACTGGAATACTCTGGCTGTGTACGTGTCAATGGACAACACAGTCGTGATTGAAGACATCAGTAAGTGTCTTTTTCTGAATAGCCAAGTCACAATTTCAGGTGAAACTGGAAAAATTAGAAAATCGTGCAAAAGTTCATTTATTTCAGTAATTCAACTCTAAAGGTGAAACTAATATATTATAGAGACTCATTACATGCAGAGTGAGATATTTCAAGCCTTTATTTGTTATAATTTTGATGATTATGGATTACGAAAACCTTTTCACAATATTCTAATTTTGAATTTGGGGTTTTCATAAGCTATAAGCCAAATCATCAAAATTATAACAAATAAAGGCTTGAAATATCTCACTTTGCACGTAATGAGGCTATAATATTAGTTTCACCTTTTAAGTGGAATTACTGAAATAAATGAACTTTTGCACTATATTGTAATTTTTCGAGATTTACCTGTATATATATATATATATATATAGTGCTTTAACGCATCAAAATAAGTGTAAATGTTGCACAGTTCATCAGTTAGTAAACCATGTGACTTTCAGCTGTAAAGTAATATCATTATTCAGCTGAATTCAGTGCGAGTTTTTTTCATCTGATGTGTATGTGCAGCAGTGTTGGGAGTAACGCATTACAAAAGTAATACATTACAGTAACATATTACTTTTTGCTGTAACGCAGTAGTGTAAGGCATTACTAATCAATTTTCAGTAATATTTTACTCGTTACATGTTCAGTGAGGCTTGTATTATAGTTGTATTACAGTGTATTGTCTGCTTTTACTTCTTAAAGGCAACAGACTATGTGAAAGTTTTAAAGCAGTCTTTTAGTGCCAGTGTCTGTAACATTGTTTTTTCCTCATAAATGCGAACACGAAAACTAAAATAAAATGAATATTTTAAGTTGTATGGAGACTGGAGAGTCAACCCTTCCTCATCCGATTTGCGCAGTGTAATTAACAGAATTACAAAAAATATATTTTGCCTCCTATTTTTTTGTCACACATGAATGTGTGTCTTTTCCCTAATATTAAAAATAAAACAGACTGATATTTGTATAATGTCTGGAGTCCTTTAAGGAAGTAGCCTATATACGTTTCAATACATGTATTTTCTGAGAATTTTTATTTCAAGTTTTGACTGCAAATGTCATGTCCATAATGTTGGACTTCCCCAATTTTAAATAATTTATCCTCAACTAGTTTTGTGGTGTAGGTCTACGTATTTTATAATGTTAACTTCAAATAATACTAATAGCCTAATTTAAAGATAAGGCAGCATTGGATCTGGACGGTAAGGAGAATAATGCTGGAGTTGGAAGAGGTGTGTCGCGATTCTGTCGGTTCGTGGATCTGAGTCGTGTGGCGAATCGCGATTTCGGTTTCATATTGCATATCGTTACAGCCCAAAAGTTAAGTTCTACTTAGTTATTTTGGTGAAAGTAACTAAAAAGTAATACATGAGTAATGTAACGCATTACAATTCTGGGACAGTAATATTGTAAGGTAATGAATTACTTTTAAATAACAGCAACAAGTAATACCTAATGTATTACAGTTTGGAAGTAACTTGCACAACACTGATGTGCAGTAAAATGTATAACATTACTTTATATTAATAATGTTTTAAACCACAACTAAGCAAGCTAAAGGCGACAGACACGAGCTGTTTCCATCCACATATTTTTATGCAAATTTTGGGATATTGCACAAAAAAATGCTTAATGGAAATGCAAAATTTCGAAAAATGTGGATAAAAAACTTGTGCGCTCAATCGAGGCAGATAAATATTTGTATCCGATTAGACGACATGGACACAATGAAAACAAATATATATATATAATAAAAAATAAAATAATGATATTTGGATAACTGGATTACCCAGCGGACCAATAGAATCGCAGCGTCTCTAATGTTGGTTTGGCGTTTCTGGTTTCACCGGAGTCGAAGTGTGCGACCAGAATAATTGGATGCAATTCCCTCCAGAAGCGTCTCACACACACACACACACACACACACACGAGTGTGTTCCCGAACACCAGCATCCGAACGCTAGAGAACACGACAGCGTTTACTGTGTTTCGTCTGACGCTCGACACACACTCGTTTATGATGGAGGGGAAAAGAGCAACTTCCATTTTTATTACTGATATTTTGTGGCGATTTCCCAGGAAGTGACGATTTTGTTCTGTTGCACTTCAGCCGTTTCTCTCTACACACACCGCGGGTCTCCTTACATCGACATGTTTCTACAGTGGCACTCGCAGTTCGTCTTTATGTTGTTCTTAGCAACAATAATATTGACAATAACATATCGTTTTACTGAATAATTAAGCCAACCTATTTTCTTAATTAATCTGGCTACTCTCAGCTGTCTCAGACGACGACATCACTTCCTGTCGGCCACTGTAACTTCTGTTGGGTGCAATTCACAACCTCACCACTAGATGCGGGTAAAAATCACACACTGCACCTTTAACTCTGCTTGTTTCTCTCTTCTACTCTTCTTGACGAGCAGAGAAGCAGTGTCAGCAGCCGCGCCGGGAGTTCAGGCCCAGGCCCGGTCCCTGTGATCGGGAAGAGGAGTCAGAGGCTCTTCATCTTCACACACAACGGCCCCTGGACTGGAGGCCCCTGCTCCTGGTCATTCCTCTGCGAATGGGCATCAACAGCATCAACCCCGTCTACATTCAGGCATTCAAAGTACGACGCTTCTCTGATGTTGCTGCATGATCTCGATGGCCCTTCATGCATCACGTGTTTCTCATCTTCTTTTACCAGGAGTGTTTCAAGATGCCTCAGTCATGTGGTGTTTTGGGAGGAAAGCCCAACCTGGCCTTTTATTTTATTGGATTTATTGGTGAGTTTTCTCAATCAAACGATTCGATTCTTACGCAAAAACAGCTGTGTTTCCACTGTCGGGCCAAAAGAAAGTGTGTTAATTCGCGTTTCCACTGTCACTTCTCGTGCGAACGATGGATGACTTCATATATCCCAGCTAACATCAGCATTAAAGACTTTTAATATCATTTCAGACAGCAGTGAGTGTTTGAATAACTTCTGTTTGTGATCCGATGTGGATTTTGGTCACCGTATACAGCAGAAATATTGATCAGAGGAGAATGGGCCGACTGATTCAAGCTGATAGAAGAGCAACTTTGACTGAAATAACCACTCGTTACAACCGAGGTATGCAGCAAAGACACAACACACACAACCTTGAGGCGGATGGGCTACAACAGCAGAAGACCCCACCGGGTACCACTCATCTCCACTACAAATAGGAAAAAGAGGCGACAATTTGCAAGAGCTCACCAAAACTGGACAGTTGAAGACTGGAAAAATGTTGCCTGGTCTGATGAGTCGGGATTTCTGTTGAGACGTTCAGATGGTAGAGTCAGAATGAGAACATGGATCATCATGCCTTGTTCCCACTGTGCAGGCTGGTGGTGGTGGTGTAATGGTGTGGGGGATGTTTTCTTGGCACACTTTAGGCCCCTTAGTGCCAATTGGGCATCGTTTAAACGCCACGGCCTACCTGAGCATTGTTTCTGACCATGTCCATCCTCTGATGGCTACTTCCAGCAGGATAATGCACCATGTCTCAAAGCTCCAATCATCTCAAATTGGTTTCTTGAACATGTCAATGAGTTGACTGTACTAAAATGGCCGCCACAGTCACCAGATCTCAACCCAATAGAGCATCTTTGGGATGTGGTGGAACGGGAGCTTCATCCCACAAATCTCCATCAACTGCAAGATGCTATCCTATCAATACGGGCCAACATTTCTAAAGAACGCTTTCGGCACCTTGTTGAATCAATGCCACGTAGAATTAAGGCGAAAGGGGGTCAAACACAGTATTAGTGTGTGTTCCTAATAATCCTGTAGGTGAGTGTATATATCCTCTGTCAAAATGAACTATCAAAGGCCCGACGGTGGAAACACAGCTAATGATTCCTATGAAAATGAATAAAAAATTGATGCTTTATCCTGGAAAATATATCATAGATAGAGGGATTATCATTTGTGCTTCTTCAGATGACGAGTTGATCTATCTGGACCCTCACACTACGCAGCAGGCCGTGGACTCTGAATCAGGCAGTGCTGTGGACGACCAGAGCTACCACTGTCAGAGGACCCCTCACCGCATGAAGATCACCAGCCTGGACCCTTCGGTTGCACTGGTGAGAGATCAAACTCTGTGTGCTTCCCTTCAGCCCAACCCCGTGATAAACCATGGGTCAAATGTTTTTGACAAACTGCTCTAAGTTTACAGCTGGTATTGAGATGCGTTTTGGTCGGTCGGATCACCAGTAGGCGAGGGAGACGCGTTCCCGTACACCGGTGTTTTAATCCATCTCTAACCTCTTCTGTCCTGAGTTCTTCAGAGGAGAGTCTATGAGCGAGTAAATGTGTGTTTTTCAGATCTTTCAATCTAATGGATGAAATAAGCCCACAGTTTACATATGAACACGAGCGGAGACTTTAGTTTCTGCTCTTCCAGCCTCGAGACCAGCCGAACGCTGCGAGTGTGTGTTAGAAATCAGGAACGCTGAGAGAACATTGTGTTTGATTTCCTCGTGTCTTCAGCTGATAAAGTTTAAACCCCGTCTGGCTAGATCTCTATAATGTTCACTCATTATTAGAGCCCGACCGATAAAGGATTTTGAAGGCCGATACCGATACAAATATTTTTTGGTTTTAAAATCCGATATCCCGGATTTTTTTTTTTTCAGAAAGGCGCAACAAAACATTAACAGATTTCCCTAACATTAGTTATTTGAAGTTATTTATGAGTTTTAACTAAAATAATATGATAATGCATTTTAAAAAGAAACTTGTTTCTTTTATTGTCACAACAGAACAGACTGATGACAGTGGCATTAGCTAGCTTTGTGGTTAGCTAGTCTATGATGAGCCATAATTTAGTAATGGTTTAGCAATTTAGCTATATTTTTAATACAACAGGCCAAGGAGAGTTGATGCGTCTCATTGCTATAACTGTCACGCGCTATTAAAGAAATAGTTCAATCACATCGTAAAAAGTTAAAAGAACACTCAGTCAACTACACTGTAACAACGTAACGTAACTATTACTAGCTAATTCCGCTTTACTCACGGCTTATTTAACAGCAGCAAAACTGGATGTGATTGTCACAAATTTTGTCATGATTATTTGAGTTTAGAGAACTGATTGGGATGATCTTTTAATTGTTATTCAAGCAATGTATGTCTCGTGACCAACTCAACGAGTGTTGCCAACAGGAACGGTGTAAAGCGCCCTCTGGTGGACAAACTATACAACTCCAACACTCATGACATGGTTCAAGCGTGTTTCGTCCGTTTTTATTTTATTTTTTAACTATTAATTTATCGGCCATTATAACTGCCGATACCGATAGTTTGGAAAATGCCTAATATCGGCCTGCTGATATATCGGTCTGGCTCTAGTTTACACCTATGTTTAGTGTCGTACACTCGTGATCCGATCGACTGAAACACACTGAAACTCCAGCTGTAAACACGGTTCACTAAGGCTAGGTTTATTGGTTGAATTTAAGCAATTCTGCTTCGACTTTAGCTTCTGATTCTTATCGAGTCCCAGTTTCAATTCCAGTAAGGTAAAAAAAAAAAATATGTAAGTAAAACATTTAGATATCAAACTATTTATTCTGTCTTTTTGCAAAACTTTGAACACCATGATCAAAAATCAGCAGCCTGAACTCTTCCTCAAGGAACCAAAATACTACCAGCCGAAACATTATTAAAGACAAGCGAACCGTCAGTAATAAAATAAGAGCAAATAAACAAATTAGAGATGACTTGTGTTTGTATTTGTCATATGATCTTTCGGAGCACTGCTTTATCATTACTATTATTCTCAGATGTTTTGCATTCTGTTGATTGTGTTTTACACCTCAAACTAAAAGTATGTACAATTGTCAGTACATATTTTTTAATCAAAGATTTGTCTGTGCTTGTGTGTGAAAACATTCACGTTTATACAGCGCTTTTCACAATAAACATCATTTCAAAGCAGCTTTACAGGAAGTGCACGAGTCCACATCACAAAACACAACACTCATTAAAAACTCTGAGCCCATTTCACGTCCAGACGAATGAATGAGAGAACGAGCCAAACGTTCTGAGCTCCAGATGGCGGAGTGTGTTCAGGCTGGGGTTTGATTGGCCGGTAACCGTGAGTGTTTGTCTCTAGGGTTTCTTCTGCAAGAGCGAGGAGGACTTCGACAGCTGGTGTGATCTGGTTCAGCAGGTAAGACTGGCACGTCTGCTCGCTTGCGTTGTACTTTTAACTTGCTTTTAATAATCCTCTCTGATTTCAAGGAGCTGCTCAAGAAAAGAAACCTGCGCATGTTCGAGCTGGTGGAGAAACATCCCTCTCACTGGCCTCCGTTTGTTCCTCCCACCAAACCAGACGTGCAGACCACAGGAGCAGGTACTGTCGGATCGTCAACCTTAGGCCCTGTTTACTGCATTATAGCATATTTACAGGGTTAAAGGAGTAGTTCACTTTAAAAAAAACTTTTGCTGATAATTTACTCACCCCCATGTTATCCAAGATGTCCACGTCTTTCTTTCTTCAGTTGAAAAGAAATTAAAGTTTTTGGTGAAAACATTCCAGGATTTTCTCCATATAATGGACTTCAATGGGGTCCAAACGGTTCAAGGTCCAAATGAGAGTTTCAGTGCAAACTGTTCAAAGGGCTTTAAACGATTCCAGACGATGAATAAGGGTCTTATCTAAGACCCTTCGAGTCATGACTCGAAAAAAGATTTGTTCATTTTGATGAACGAGTTCGAACAGGAGAGTCACAAACGCGCATCACAGAACAGAGCAAGGCGAGCATTTGAGCTTATAAAACTTAAACTTTGTTATTTATTTAATAAATGAGCGATCGTTTCGCTTGATAAGACCCTTATTCATCGTCTGGAATCGTTTAAAGCCCTTTGAACAGTTTGCACTGAAACTGTCTTTTGGACCTTGAACCATTTGGTCCCCATTGAAGTCCATTATATGGAGAAAATCCTGGAATGTTTTCATCAAAAACCTTAATTTCTTTTCGACTGAAGAAAGAATGACATGGACATCTTGGATGAAAAAAAGTGAACTACTCCTTTAATGTGTGTTTCAGTCGATCGGATCACGAGTGTACGACACTAAACACGGGTGTGTAAACGGGTCTAAAGCGCTTTGAGCTCGTCCACTTCCAGTTGAAAACACACTCGAGCGGATTGCTGTCGTAGTGTAAACGCTCATGTGTTCAAACAGACGCTAAAAGAGCGTCTTCTCTCCGTCTCCTGAATAATGAGTGAACATTATAGAGATCTAGCCAGACGGGGTTTAAACTTTATCAGCTGAAGACACGAGGAAATCAAACACAATGTTCTCTCAGCGTTCCTGATTTCTAACACACACTCGCAGCGTTCGGCTGGTCTCGACGCTGGAAGAGCAGAAACTAAAGTCTCCGCTCGTGTTCATATGTAAACTGTGGGCTTATTTCATCCATTAGATTGAAAGATCTGAAAAACACACATTTACTCGCTCATAGACTCTCCTCTGAAGAACTCAGGACTGAAGAGGTTAAAGTGGACGAAAGAGACAGCCATAGATAACTGTGGCAAAGTAAATTAGTTTCCTAACCTGAGCGTCATTCTTCTTCCAGAGTTCATCGAGTCTCCAGACAAGCTTTTCGAGTCGGAAGAGGAGTTTGAGATCCTGAACGTGTGATCCTGGGCCGGTCTCTCCGCTCCACAAGTGCCTCAGATCAACACACACAGCACAAAACACGAGCTCGTGCTTCTATCTGTGGACACAGGAGAAAACAACAAGCCAGGGATCCCGTCGCATCTGTGTGTGTGTGTGTGTGTGTGTGACGTGTGCCTCACTCACAGGCCTGTGTCGAACTGCAGAAACTGAGAGCTTGACCAGTTGCATGAACTTTCTCGTATACTGTATGATGGAGTGGTGAAGGCTCTCATGAGGATGATATCTGTAACACACAAACACAAACACTCTTACCTCCTGACCGCAGGAGATCGACCATATGCAGAATAACACTCAATCTCTCATTCAGTGTTATATAAGAAACCTTACTGGTTAAAAAAAGTGCCTCTAATTGACATATTTATGTTTTTGACTGGTAAAGGTGATGTTTTCTGTCCTTTTTAATGGGTTAATTATGTCACCCACCCCTGCACATCTGTAAATATGGCTTCAAATGAAGATATTTAAATATGTTATCGTGTTTTGGATTGGTCCTATCACTTTTTTTAGAACAAATAAACTACCTAATTACGTATGCTTTATTGTCCCGTTCACTGTCTTTGTTCTGTGGATGAATTTAATAATAGTGTTGATGTAATATATTAACATGTAACTTCTTTAAAGAGAGCACGAATTGGCCTAATATATATTATATACACAGACACACACACAGTATCAGTCAAAGGTTTGGAAACATTACTCTTCTGCTCACCAAGACTGCATTTATTTGATCAAAAATACAGTAATATTGTGAAATATTATTACAATTTTAAACCACCGTTTTATTTGTGAATATTATAGTAAAGTGTCATTTTTTCCTGGGATGTTTTTCAGCTTCATTTAGTCTTCAGTGTCACATGATCCTTCAGAAATCACTCTCATATGATTTAGTATCAACGTTGGAAACATTCATATGCATAGCTTAATATTTTTTGTGCTGTTTCAGTGATACTTTTTCAGGATTCATTGATTAAAAATTTTCAGAATAGAAATCTTTTGTAACAATTGAAAACTTTACTATCACTTTTTTAATCAGTTTAACACATCCTTGCAGAATAACAGTATTAATTTATTTTAAAAATATATAATAAAAAAAGGAGTGACCGCAAACTTTTGAATAATAGTGTATATTGTTACAAAATATTTCTATTGTAAATGGTGGTTGTTGTTTTTTTTACTTTTTATTAATCAATGAATCCTGGAAAAAGTATCACAGGTTATAAAATAAATATTGATCAGCACAACTGTTTCCAATATTAATAATAAATCATATCAGTGATTTCTGAAGGATCATGTGACACTGAAGACTGGACTGATGATGTTGAAAATACAGCTTTGATCACAGGAATAAATTACATTAAAAAATGTAAAATCTTTTTATGACACATTTTTATCACATAAATTTAAAATGTGACTTTTATTTCACTTACATTGTGTAGCTTTTTCTCTTTAGTTTTTGATTTACTAATAAACTATACATACAGGTGACACTCGAAATATTACAATATCTTGCAAAAGTTAATTTATTTCAGTAATTCCACTTAAAAGGTGAAACTAATATATTATATAGACTCATTACATGCAGAGTGAGATATTTCAAGCCTTTATTTGTTATAATTTTGATGATTATGGATTACAGCTTATGAAAACCCCAAAGATGAAAAGGTTTTAATAAGATGTAATCCATTATCATCATTATAAAAAATAAAGGCATGTAATGAGACTATATAATAAATTAGTTTCACCTTTTAAGTTGAATGACTGAAATAAATGAACTTTTGCACGTTTGACCTGTATTTAAGGCTTCATTTCAGGGACATGGCATTCAGAGAGGATGGATGTTTGGATTATTCTTGCTTACCTTTAAAAATATCCTCTTTTGTGTCCAGTAGAGGTCAGCGATATCAACTACTGCACAGGACACTGCAGTCTTAACATGTCCACAGCCATGTTGCATCATACAAGACACGAGAAAAGAGATACCTTGGCACTTTTTTATTGCAATAGCTCTATTACAAGCAAAAAACAATCTAATAAATTTACACAAAAAAAACTAAATATAAAAAATGTAGAAGTGACCAAAAAATAAATAAATAAAATAAATAAGAACTCAAACACCCTCATCCTTGAAACCAAACGAGGTGTAGCATGTCGACTAGAGAAGGAATATCAAAAATTACAATATTTACAAAAGGAAGACGGCGCTGATAATGGTTCAGTCATTATTATCAACAAGCTTTCAGCATAACCGAGTACTGACCATATGAACAGCAAACTGTTGACACACTCAAATGCTTCTTCTTTTTTACTTCTTTTTTGTCCAACTCTTCCTTTCAATCATTGTAAAAGGCAAACAACTCGACACAATATCAGAATCCCCAAAATATAACATCAGTAGAGCCCCAAGTATATAAAAAAAACAAATAAACACACGTTTGATTATTTTCCCAGGCTGTCACGGTAGTTATTGTGTAGCAAAATCCCCAAGAAACGGTATACTACTGTTTTTTTTTTCATCTCACATTTTACTTACATTAAAGCAACGCCATATCATGACACAATAGCTAGTCAAAAAAAAGAGCGCGCCAACGAGTGTGACGCAACCCAAACGAGTGGAAACATCACTGACGTATGATATCGTCCCAACAGAATCTGGACTACTACTGTAAAGCTTACACATCTCACTACACAGCGTTCAACCACAACCAAAACCTCAACCCAAAACCTCTTCATATAAAGCTTTCAGGTACAAGCAGAGGAAAAGGACTAGAAAAGAAGGCCCGAGAGATGAGAGGTTTTCTGAAGTTGTATATATACACACACTGAACTCCCGCTCTAAAACCGAGCCGTAAACGGTCAATAAATTATCAATAAATAAACGAAACGTGTGGAATGCAGAGTCGTCGTCATCCTGCTGTAATGTGGCAGCTTGTAAGACTAGTAGTGAAATGCAAATACAGAAAACCACGAAAAGTGGCGTCAAAAACACCCGCCGTCTATGTAAACAATGCCGCGTTGCATTTTAAACGAGGACAGGAAAGCCGTGGTCGTGGAGAAACGGTATTTTGCATCACGTGACTTCACATTAATACTAATACGAGGATTTCGTGAGCGTTTTCAGGAGGTAGCAACTCAGAAACACTGTCACGTAAAAAAAAAAGTGCTCGATTGGAAAAGTGTCTTCGTAGTTCGTACGCGTACTTTTTAAATTCGCCTAATTTAACGTTTTTAACGGACACTCTCGTCAATGACGTTTCGCTACTCTTAAAGCGAGACAAACTCCACCCCCTCAAAAAATATTTGACTTTATACAAATCAAAAACCAGTGAAACTAAACTAAGTGCGGGGAGCGTCTTGAGGAGTGGCTCCCTTTACAAAAATGAGATTCGATATACAAGCTTCTCCTATTTACACGGATCCGGCGCGGAGAAACACAAACCTGTAACCAAAAGAGCCATGATGCATTTCAGTTTGTTCGCACACACAAAAATAGAAGTGCTAGATTTCTGAAGCTCACAGTTCTAGTTCAGCGAACCCGCTCTAGTAAACACGACCGAAAACTAAACAAGTATCATTCGGACAGAAACGGACAAATGAAACCGGTTGTTGAGGCAGTTATGTGGGAAACACGGAGCGTAAGAGGTTGTGCAGTTTCTCAGTCTGTGTTGTTGGAGGTCTGAGGAGGAGGACGAGGATGACTCCTCTTCGTCGTTCCAGAGGTCGTGTCCTGATTCTCCTTCGGGCACCGTTGTATTACTCACTCAATCTGCAGGGATGAGGAGATACAGATGTTAGATAGATAATAGCATTCCTGGGTTTGATTTCCAGGGGAGTTATTACATGTATAGCTTTCATTCAAAATAAGTCACTTTGGATATCTAGCAACTTTATCTTTATGAATTAGAGCTCATTTTTACAGGTGAAACTCGAGAAATATCGTGCAAACGTTCATTTATTTCAGTAATTCATCTTAAAAGGTGGAACTAATATATTATATAGACTCATTACATGCAAAGTGAGGTATTTCAAGCCTTTATTTGTTATAATGGATTACAGTTTATGAAAACCCCAAATTCAAAATTAGAATATTATGAAAAGGTTTTCATATCTGTAAGTCATAATCATAAAATTATAACAAATAAAGGCTTGAAATATTTCACTTTGCATGTAATGAGTCTATATAATATATTAGTTTCAGCTTTTAAGTGGAATTACTGAAATGAATCAACTTTAGCACCATATTCTATTTTTTTTTTAGTTTCACCTGTAAACTGGAACCATATAAATCAGTAGCTTTTTTTTAAGTTTACTACCTTAATATTAAGTCTATTATGCATTAAAGACAAAACTCATTGGGATCCAGATATATTTCAACCAATTAATGTTTTTTTGTGTTTTTTTTTTTTTTTACAGCAGAATATTTTATGGAAAAATATAACCATAAATTGGAAATCCTAAATGCTTAGAAGCAAAACCTTTTTATATGCATGGGTTGAATGATTTCAGAAAATAAACACTTCTCATCTATTATGATATATCATCTCTTAGAGTAAAAAAAAAATTAAAGGGACAGTTCATCCAAAAATGAAAATTATGTCATAATTTTCTAGTTCAAAACCTGCATGAGTTTCTTTCTTTTGCTGAACACAAAATTTAATTACCTAGTACTTTTTTACCATACTATGGATGTCAATGGGGTCCATTAACTGTTTGGTTACCCATATTTATCATCTTTTGTGCTCAGAAGAAGAAACAAACTCATACGGGTTTTAAAGAATTTGAGGGAGAGTAAATGATGAGTTTTTATTTTCGGGTAAACTAACCTTTAACCTTTGCTTATAGTGTGTGGAATTTCCTTTTTTAGTTGTTGTTCATTAACAGAAGATGTAATATAGTGTGAGTGCAAGTCTAATCAAAGCTTTTATTAATATTGCAAGACAAATTGCCACCTTCAGCTTACTTTATGATAAAGTGAGTGCAATGTCACCCGCAAACTTGTTGTTGAAATGATGTAGGTGTGAAAGAAAATAATCATCATCAGCAGGAATGCATCTTTGATAGACATTTTAAGTCATCTTGGTAAAAGTTTTACTTTGACCGTCAAAAAGCGAGTATTTTATGTAGCATGCAAGTGGATTCCTTTAATATCAAACTTGCACATCACAACATCTGAAGTGCTCTTTACCCAGTGCTTTTCAAAGTGTGCAAAACCAAGTTTCAAAATCATGTTCAATCAATAATAAACAAAAAAAAAAAAAGAATGTCTTTGAAAGCAACAGCAATATTTTTCACTATAACAACAGGAAGTTGAAATGACAATTCTGCTCCATCGTCTCGTCTCAGGACAACAGGAAAGACTTAATAAAAAAAAACTGTGAAAATTCACAACTTCTTCTTAAGTAAGACTGTTTACATTACATCACATTGCTGTCTTAATAGTTTGCATTCACATGACAAACTCAGAAATGAATGTTGACGCAGCATGCAGCCTTTTACTTGCGGTCACTTATCTTGGTGCATAATGGGAGACAGAGATG